TGAGTACATAACCTTAAATGGACCTTAAGCCCATTTTGAATTGGGCTGATTTGATCAGTCAATTAAAAGTGACGAATTCTGAGAGTCTAAGATCTAAATGAGATTTAGATCTGGAAGCCTCCTAATTAGATTAGGAGATGGCTGATCTGATTTGCATATAAGATAAGGGTTATCCCTTATCACTTAAAGGGACTTTAATCCAAATATAATTTGGATCAGCAGCTCCTAATAGGATTACGAGCTGATCCCTTTAAATCTATAAATGGAGGAGGGGGCGGCAGCCTTTAGACATGCAACCAAAAAGACTCTTGTCTTCAAAGCTGAAATCACAGAAGAGAGATTTYTGCAACCTCTGCAAAATCTCTCTTGCCGCCTCATTCCTACCACCGCCATTACCTTCAGTTCGATCTCCAGTTATTGGGAGAAATCAAGATCTTATCTTGATACCAATCTTTTGGGAAAAGATTGATTGGAGCTGTAATCACAAGCCATCCAATTGATTTTTGCGAAGGGTCAAGTTCTTTTGAAGAACATTGCTGATTCTGCTCAATTCTACACTACGCCATCTTCAGTGGGAGCAGTTTTTGGATCCCTCTTTGGGTGTGAACACCTCCATTGGGAGATACTAATTCTCCAGATCAGGTACATCTTCCCTCCTACTCCTTTTGGTTCAGATCTGGTTTGGTTCGTGGTTCAAGATTAATCCTTGAAAAATATGTTTTTCTAAAAATAGGGAATTCGATTCCTTGCAAAGATGGGAGAAATTTTTGAAATTTCCCCAATCCATTCCGCAAGACTTGGGCGTCCATGTGATGGATATCCCATCCTATCAGAAACTGTGCAAAATCATCCAATTAGCCTTGTTTCCCTCCTGTCGCCTTTTTGCTTGCCCTGAATCGAAATACAAGAGTAATGAGTCCAATTAAGTGTTAATTAAGTGTAAAAGAATGAATATTTAGGGATAAAAATATGGTAATTTTTATTCACATCAGACGACTCAGATCAACTTGATCTGATGGCTCCCATGAGAGCTGTTGCATGAGTCTTGAGGTCGAAATTGGTTGAGTGCGCGTTCTGACATCCGCGGAATTTATAATCTGAGTGACATCCGCACGTCCTCGATACACGATCTAGCTCTCTTGTTGAGCCAGTTGGGTCATTAAGGTCTGACCCCTAGACCAGACCTCGACCAGGACGAAGACCGGGCTAAATCCACCTAGGCATGTCATGGACTCCTGCACCACGTCAAGACGCCTGGCACGAGGAGTGGGGGGCAACTGATGAGGAGTAATTTGGCCCGACCTATCAACACCCGGGCACATGAAAGTGACCTGTTGACTGGATGACGACTTGGCATTCCCTGCCAACTCAACAAGCCAGGTAAGCTCGTGTAGCTCGGGCACCTCGACCAAGACCGAGATTCGAATAGCTTGTGATGGCCTGACCTGCCAAGGTGACACGTAGCCAACTTATAGAAGCTAGCCAGTTGTCTCCGAGCTCTCCGGGATCATGTCGCACGTCTGGAAGCCTTATCCTTACCCCGCCCGAATCGGACGGACTCGAAGAGCCTTATCAGCTAACACGAAGTCCACCTCCTCGTATGGAACGGATTCCTAGTAACACGGACCAGGGATCTCGGAGGTGTTTTGTAGGGCCTACGGCAACTCACCTATATAAGGGCATCAACCCCAATATCACAAGGTACGCACGATTAATAGCTCCCTAGCTTATCTGCATTCAAGTTTTCAACTCACTTAGTAAGAGTACTAACTTAAGCATCGGAGCAACTATGCTGAGTAGGCCACCATGGGTTCTCCAAGTGTTACTTTTCTTACAGTTTGACCAGTCAGCTAATAAGACCGACGTCAAAGCTACTCTCTAGATAAGAGCATCCGGATCGCACAATCAGTATTGTTTGGAAAGTCTTTTTAAAAACATCTTGGTTAAAAAACGTATTGAGCTTTTGAGATCATATCTTTAAAGACAAACCGTTTGCTAAGTTGTTCGGATTATCAAATTCTTAAAAACATGTTTAAACGCTTTTATCATGCAGAAATACCAAAAAAAACCTCAATTGAAACTTCTCAAAAGTTGGTGTTTTCAATGTTTTTTGGCATGCGTGATGCGTCTCTTACCTTTTATTTTCTCAATGGGATCTAGGATTTATTTGTTGGTGTGAGTTGCAGGGTCGAGCTAGTCGGTTTTGTGTAGCATCTTTCGGCTTACCCATAAGGCCATAATCCTACACAAAATGATTTGCCCAATGCCACGTCGACAGTAAGTTATTTATTTTCTCAAAAAGCTTTTTATTTTTCATGGGTCCTCGTTTTTTTTTCATCCTACTTTCTATGTTTTACTTTTATTTTTTCACTCATCTTTTTCAACGAACCAAACGGGTTCTTACAACTTGTCTTCTTCGCCCTACAATAAGGTGTTGGACACATGAAAACACTTGTCCAACTTTGTCTTGTAATTTGCCCTTTTATTTTCTATTTTATTTATTTTTTTTAGTAATGAAATTGCCATATAAATAGGTCTCACGGTGGAACATCTCCGCACTTCTACTTTATTTCGGGAGATATTCTTAATGCAAGGCTATAATTGGTATTCCAACGGGATTTGCACTGAATCCGGTTTCCTCACGGTGTCTGTACTCTGTATAATTGAATTATAAAACGTTCTACCACCTAAACACATTAGCAGTAAAACATTTTTCTGGGTGAAAAATCATAAAAGTAACTAATAAGTAAGCAGCTATAAAACAAAACTAGCCCGCATCAGCTTTTCTTTCTCTCCTTCGCTGGCTGCTCGTTTGTGTCACTGTGTGCAAGCTTGTAGTAACTTCAATCGTTATCTTTCGTTTAGGGTTCTGTTCTGCTCCTTCAATTTCGGGGAAAATCCTCATTCTCTATTTAACAGCGAGGGACCCCTCCCATGAATTTTCGTCCCCGTTTACTGCGCAGATCTTTGCTGCTGCTTTTGGGTAATAGGGGATAACCCTAGAAATTTCAATTTCAAGGGTTTCTCCTTCGTGTTAATTTGTTTCTTATTCGGCGATTATGGCCTAGGATTTGGTTTATAGTTTTGCTCTTTTGTTTTGTATTTTTTTCTTCTTCTTTTTTTTTTTCCCTCTTCTGGGTTTCTAGAGAGTTTAGTACAACAGTAGTACTAATGGATGGATTCGATGATGAGGGTGGCATTGAAAAGATCCCCAACCAGAAGGCTTTCAAGGGATTAGCAGAGAGTTCATCAGGTCAGTTGTTTTATAGCTTGATCTTTGCTTTTGAAGCTTGAATATCTGCTTTGTTTATTGTTTTCTGGGTTCTGATATGCTTTCCAGATCTTGGTTTCAGTTCATGCGTGTTTTCTTTTTCGAATTTCTCCTTTCCCTGTTTTTCATTGTCCTACTGTTTGATCGTGTATATCGTGTTCACTATTGTGATTCATACTGAGTTAGATTGTTGGACGATTTTCTCTGTGTATGTGTGTGTCTTTAAGTACTCATAGAATGTTATTGTTTCTTGTTGCAATTAAGTAGCTTACAGACCCTGTATATGGTTTTAAGATTTATGTACAACAATCGGGAATTAGGGTTTCATGAGATTTAATGCGTTTTATGGATGATTTTCTCCATCCAATTTTAAAGTTTGAAAACGTTAAATTTTTTTGTTCTGGATCATCTACAATCGTTGTACAAACTTCATTTGTGTTTCAGTTGTTATATACGGGACAGGGTTCTCCATTAGACGTTTTATTATTTCGAGGCGCCATGCAGAAACTGCCTATTTGATGTTCCTGGTTTTAACTTTTAAGTTTTAACGTATTTGATTTCTTTATTTCTTGTTTGACTTCTTGTTCTTGTTGAATGGTAAAGTTACTGCTAATTTTAGATGGAAGGACTTGTTATTGATATGATTTTCTCTTTTTGTATTTCCATTTGTCTTTGTTACATGATTACTTTAAGTTGTAAGTTTGGGGCATGTGAAACATAAAGCAAATCTACATTCTGACTTTCTTATCCCCCCACGCAGAAGATGCACGCTTTGATGCATCACAATATGCATTCTTTGATAAGGATGTTATGGAGGAGGTTGAACTAGGTGGATTAGAAGATGAAGATGATGATGTTCCATTAATTGGGTTTGATGATGACGAGTATCCGTTGTCTGATAGAGAAGAGGTTACATTTTTGCCTTTCATCTTAGTTGATTATCTTTAGATATTTCTTTGTTTAATATGCTCATTTGATAGGTACATTTTGGTTTTCGTACTTAATATTTATATAATGTTCGCCAATATTCCTTTTTGATATTGTCATGATATGATAATCTATCTTAGCACAACTGCACAACTGATCCTACTTCCTCATTAACGATCTCATAAAAGATGTAAGATACAAAACAAAAGATTTAGTCTTTTTGTTCATGTTAAGCAAATTATTGTAAATTTAGTTGTTTGTTTCTTTATTGTTGGTATAACAATTTTGAGTATGATCTACCTTACTTTATACTCGGTATTGTGAGCTTATTCTCTATTCTAGTATTTATCAAACAGTTTAGAATTTAATTTGTTTGAAGGGTCCTGCATTTCTTTGGATATTTGCATTGCTGAAGAAATAATATATAGATAAGATTAATATGTCCATGTTTTCATCATATTTTGTGCTAATTGATATGTTGTCTTAATAAGTGGGTGGCCATGTTATCTTATTGACTGCAATTAAGGGTTCACAATACAGTTTACAAGACTCACAATGGTAACTCAAGAGTTTTTAATGACTTAAAAGGCTCTTGTGATTTAGGAGGTGGTACGACCGGTATTTGTCCTTAAGCAAAGTGAATCTCATGACAGACAATCGATCACAGCAAACACTGTGACAGTGGGAGCTGTAACAGGGTGAACTCTAACCTTCTGGTTTTGCAGCTTACAAAGGAAATGACCTTGGACCTCTGTTCTAGCAGGAGGTTAAAGGGTTTGAGGGGGTCTCTGTGGCCCAAAATGAGCACAATAAGAGAAAGGAAAAGGATACAAAGGCAGAAATGCCAAAGAGACTTTTTTTTTTGGATTGGAAACGGTAACTTCAATAATGAAATTTCAAACTACAACTGTCAACTCCCAGTAGAGGGAGTTGAACCACAAATACTGAATTACAACACTGCTCAAACATATTCCACCTAACAGTTGTTTTGCTAATGAATTCGCTAGTCCATCAGCTGGTCTTCTTGTCCACTTGAAGCAAGCATCAATCTGCCTTGTTTGACTAACAATTTCCCTTAACAATTGTCTATGTGTCCATGCTCCTAAACTACCTGACTGCAGCCATCCAATTACCAACTTCGAATCCCCTTCTATTTCGATCTGTTGTAGTCCCAACTGCTTTGCATATCTTTCACCTTGTCGTAATGCCATGATCGTTTCTCTTAAAGAGTCTCCTACTCCTATTCGGCCTGAGAGCAATGCTAAAATTCTGCCTTCTCAATCTATGAAAATACGCCTTATACCCGAGGCTTCCTGGTTGCGTATAGAACTACCATCAAAGTTCAGCTTCACCCTATTTTGTATTGGTGGGGACCAAAGTTCCTGTATCATAGGTTTAAGAGAGTTTGTACTTGCCACAACACCCCTGTTTCTATAAATATCTTCAGCTGAGAAGTCTTTAAATGCATTGGTCATATTCAGCCAGTGGATAATCTTTATAGTCACTTCTACAATTTCCTCCTTGGATCTTACCATACTTTTAAAAATCATGTTATTTCTTTCTTCCTGAATTGATCAAAGCACCATTGCTCTTGTAGCTCTCCACATAATTCTTCCTTGCAACCAAAGAGAGAAGAGAGAAGAGAACCAAGACCATCTCGGGGAGGGGTCCACTTGCAACCAAAGAGAGAAGAGAACCAAGACCAAATAAAGGGCACAAAAGGGCAAGGGATTAATAAATGTGTGATTGTCTCACTTGATCCCAAGTAGAGACTAGGGGTGAGCATTCGATTTTTTCTGTTCAAAACCGAACTGAAAACCGAAATTTCAAAAACCGAATTAGCTAAATGACAAACCGAACCGAAACTGAAATAATGGAAAACCGAATAAACCGAACTGAAAATTATTTTCGGTTATTTCGGTTCTAACCAAAATATTTTTTGCATTATTATTTAAATTTCAATAAATTTATCAAGTGGATCGGTTAATTTGAAGTTATGATTTGTGAACACAGATTCCATAAAAAATAGAAAATAAGAGAAACAAATTTGGCAACAATGCCAAAACCCAAAAGAAAATTAAGTGGGCTAGGCTGTACTGCTTTGGGCCTTGCTGCATTCTTAGCTAGTTAGCTTATAGGATATAAACCAATACCAAACATCTACAGAATAGAAGAAACATAAGTTCTAACAGAGTAACAGCCTTCTAAGTTCTAACAGCTTTTGCTTTCCTTTACGCTCACCCGTACAGTCAATAGCTAATGATTTAACTCAGTATTGTTTAACCTTAGATAAGTAAAGGATCATAGTATTTGCACTAGTAGTATTAAAAGATGATAAATATAGGTTTACTCAGGTAGCTCTGAATAAACTGTGCATGCCAGACATTTTTTTAACTGCACAACAGTACCTAACTGACAAGGGATTAGACAAGAAGATGATCTCTGTAAAATCTGTAGGTTGCTTTCCAAAATATTAGTGACACTACCTAAGGAAAACAATGCTCAGAAGATAATTATGTAATCCTGTTTTCTGTTTTGACAACTGACACAAAAACCAAGTCTAATCTAACTATATTACATCAAGATCATTCCATATTAACAAGAGGAAAAGATACTGCCTTTTGACATTCCAACCCCTGTGCATGATGTATTTAGTTTCAAGCTTTTATTTCTACCACTCAACAAGACAGCACAAATACAAGTACATTTTTCTATATGTTACATTTCAATTGACTTTTAAATCTTTATAAGCTATACTATCAAGGAATTCTACCACATCCAGAACATTTGATCATTCTTAAATGCAATAATATGTGCACGTTCATGGACAAGTCCAAAAAATTGTTGATCAAGACTATACACTTGTTCAAAATTCCAGGCAATCTTGTCCATCAGCCACACTAGAAGTTCACTAGATGATTCCAATAGCACATAATGAGCTGTATAGTAAACTGACTGTTTTTGGCTTCATTGGGGGTGGGTATGGGGAAGAGAATACTAATACTTTTCATGTTCCCCAGCAGTCAGCAACTCTAGTTCTCTATTCTATCTGAAAATTTATTTCCAAACCAAGGAAATATTAGACACAATGCATGCCAGGCAAAAAAAAAAGACAAGGTAGAAAGTTAAACAAATAAATAATACATGCAGACAGATGAAGAATAAATTGATCGATGAGGGTCAAAATTCAAGAACAAGGCCGTGTAAGGCATCAACTGTCTTCTTGGTTTGTACTACTGTATCTCTGTAACAATGAATGAATGCAGAAAGTGTATTAATGGCCGCTCTGTTAAAATATTACAGAAAACTTGCATTTCAAAAATCAAACAAAATAGGAACTAGGAAGGTCCTGTTTGCCACGAAGACATAATAGAAGGTCCTGTTATTCTTGAATGAGCGATTCTAGTTGCCAAACAAAATAGGAAGCATACATAATAGTTCAAAACCTTCAAAGCTTCAAAGACATTGCCACAAAGACAACCAAAAGTCCAAAACTTCCACCACTACAGCATTTCCACAAAGACTTTGCCTCCCAAGTCCCACCTGCTATATCTATTTGAAAGAAAGGCCCCTTGTTAGAAAATTAAGGTGAGTAAATACAAAGTAGTCCAACATACAATATAAGCATGGAATTTAAAAGCTTACCCAAGAATAAGCATAGGAATGAATTTACTAATCAAATATCAACCACGATTCTTTGCTTCGATGCACTCTTTGGTAAATCTAGAAGGGAAGAAAAAAATGTATCAATTAATCATTTATGAAGGCTAAACAAATATCAATTTATCATTAGAAATGACATATGAAACTTAAACAAAAAAAGAGTATTACCATTTCAAATTTGTCAATCTCTTCTAAATCTTCTTCAACATTAATTGCATGTTTTGATGACCGAGTCCAATCTCTAGTACATATAAGTGCTTCTGCTACCTTAGGTGTCAAAGAGCTCCTAAATGCATCAAGCACTCGTCCTCCAGTGCTAAAAGTGGACTCAGAAGCAACTGTAGAAAAGTGAATTGCTAATACATCACGAGCCATCTATGAAAGTATAGGGAATCTGTGACTGTTAACTTTCCACCATCTTAAAATAACAAAGTCGTCATTACTTTGTCCCTCTTCAGTATCTTCATTCAGATATATATCCAACTCTGATTTAGCATCTCCCCCTCCACTTACTGACTTGTACTTCTTAAATCGAGACATCAACATCTTCTTTGATTGTGATTGTTGGGGTTGCTCACTCTCTGTCTCACTTGAAATTGAACACTTCACATTTTCAGTAGTTTGTCCACTTCCACTCTGAGGTGCAAATATACTCTTATATTCATTATACAACTCATACAAGGCTTCCCTGGCTCTTTTTGCAAATTCTTGACCCTTGGCACCTTGATAAGTTTCATTAAGTACAAACTCCACATACTCTAATTTGTGCCGAGGGTCTAACACAATTGCAATATAGATCAACTTATTCATCTTTTCAATGTTTCCCCAAAACTTATCGTACTTCCCTTTCATCCTCTCTGCCATCTCCCTTAAATTTTTGTCCGCACTGTTTACCCATTCTTGCAAAAGGCACTCAACTGCATTAATTTCATGGCAAAAGTTGTTTGATGTGACATACAAGGAGCCTAAAACCTATATTGTGAGATCATAAAAATGCTGTGAAAATAGCACTAGCCTCCTAACATTCTCCCAATCAAAACAAGTAGGAATCCCATCCTCTATCTCAAGTTCACTTCTAAAATGAGGATCATGATCCCCAAACCTCTCAAAGACTCTTTCAAACTTTTGAGTTGCATCCAACATTAGGTATGTTGAATTCCATCTGGTACTAACATTCAAACACAACAAACTCTTACTTGGAATCTTTTTAACCTAACAAATTCTTTAAATTTTTGCAACCTAGCCAGAGATTGCCTCACATATCTCACAACCTCCTGAACATGACTAATAGGCTTATCCATTTCTTTCAAGGTATCATT